TAATTGTTGAAATGCTCACATGCAATTGCTAAGTTATCTCAATACTTATAAAATTCAAAGATGAAGATTGAAATAATAGATGACCATAACATGTAAGTATGAAATAATTCATAAAATATTCTCAAAAGGGTTTTAAGAGTCATGAAAAGAAGAATTCTAACGTAAGATCATATAAATATCCAAAATTAATGTTCTGAATGCAGTAATAGGAAAATTAAGGATCTCACTATCCCTGACGTTTGCTTTGTTTAGGACCTGCCCCATGCTCGGCTTTCTTTGTTCCCTGTTCCCGGACGTAGTCAAGTATTTCCTCCACCTGCCACTGCTGCGTGAGAAGGAGCGTCTCCATGCTCCTTAAGCGAGAGCTACAGAGTCCTGAAATGCAAACATAGCTTGCGAAAGCTCGCGAAGGGTCATAGGAATCGTATGCTGCCTTCTAGGACGTGCCTCCTTGTCTTATTATAAACAATCTGGGCCAAATACTGTGTCGGTGGTCGGAACATGCTTGCAGCTTCTGGAAGAACATCGGGAACGGAAATACATAATCCTCGGGCCAGAAGCGTAACCATTGGCCCACACAAGACAAACTGGTGGTTGCAAGTTGACTGAGCAAATAAGAATCAAGCCACAAAAGTTGCTAGATTGACTGGAACGCGTGCTTCCAGACTCCAGAAAAATAGCATATCGGAATCAAACACCACGTCAGGTTCTTGAGAGCGGCCGAAATAGCTATGAGCCAATGCATGGTGCAAAATCCTCCAAGACGGTCGTGCCCAATTCCTAGCTAAGCTTGCTCCACTGTGAAATCGACCATGCCCATGAGCTTGCCAGAAATTTTTAGCATCGAATTCTGGATCCAACTGGTCGGGCAGATTAGCGAAGGCCAGGCTCCGCGTTTCATCAAGCGTGTAAAGACCAATCAGCCACCCTAAGTCTGCCACGGTAAGGTTCAACAGTCGTCCCATCAGAGTGAACGTGACCTTGGTGGTGGAGGTGACTTCAGCTGCTGACTTTACTTCCTCTCCGTCATTGAGGAAGCGGAGAGAGCAAAGAAACTTGATGGTGACTTCCAGGCTGGCTGGTGCATGCAGGAATAGCAGGATCCTCCATTTTGGGTCGTACAGCAACTCATCAATGTCCTGCCAGTGCCCCAGTTCATCCAGATAGGCAGGGTCTAGCACCATGGGAGGCTGGAGCATCTTCGTGTTTCCCCAAGTGAGAAACTTCTTCTTTGCTTCTTCTGAGTGCAAGGGGAGCTCTTCCAGATTCTGTAATGTGCGGCAGTTTCCATGCGGGATCATCCAAGCAACATCCATCTGTTTGAAATAGAAAAGTAAAACAAGTAAAATCTTGCCCCCAACTGGTGCGGCAAGTAAATAACAAGTAAGCATTAATAATTTAATTATCTGAATGACGGGTTGCCTCCCGTTTAAGCGCTTCTTTAATGTCCGTAGCTTGACGCTCACCCACTTTTTCCGCGACTTCCCGATCCGAGAGTCATAAAGTTTGGCCCTTCTGACTCTCTTCGGGTGCCACCTTGTTTGATTTGTTGCTCAGTCAAGGTCCAGGATCCTTGACTCATCCCTGCGGCTGGGTGGCAACAGGATATATGGAGGAGACTTTGTATAAGTGGGTGGGGGCGGAAGTCTCCTCAGTTGATCCACATCATTGGCTTTGATTGCGAAATTGATTTCTTCCTTATCTTCAATTGACTGACTATCCATTTGTGGTTTGATGATTATGATCGTACCCTCCCCCAAGGAAGAGTCCTCGTCGTCACTCACCAGAAGTTCATCCCAACTCTTTAAGTTCCAACCATCCTTCGGGCAGACATAGTCATACCCGTCAAGTAGGGAGTCAAAGAAAGTTTGATCTGAATCATCAGATGAATCATTGGTTGCATAGGTTTCTATAGACGAAGTTGGCTTTTCTTCATCTATAGGTTCCTCCTTAGACTCGTGGACATTGGAATTTTGGGGGCTTGTAGTGGGCTCTATCTCCTCCAGAACAGGTTCCTCTGGAGGTGTGTCTTCAACACAATTAAGGAGATGGTCGTTTATTGCTATAGGCAAAACTTCCTCCTCTTTTTCTTGACTAAGCATAGGTGGTTCTGAGTCAAGTCCCTCAGTTGGTTCCACCTTCTGTACGACTATGCTGGTTGTGACTTGGCTAGGAAGGGATTTAGGTAACATCACCACAGTAGCCCTAGCAAGAGTTGTTATGCTCTCGGGTTTCTGTGATGGTGTAAAACTGGGTGAATCTTCTAGAACTGGAACCTGTTGGTTGATGGGTTCAGGGTTGGTCTTAGGTTCTAGAGCCTCTTTTTGAACATTAATCTCCCTTATTTGATCTTGAGATTGGAGGGAGCGTTTAAGTTCAACAGCCATACAGAGATCATTGACTAATTTATCGGCTTTAGACTCAGCTTGTAGTCTCTCTCTTTGAAAGTCGTACAACATTTTCTGCATCATTTCTGATCTTTCGCATAATCTCCTCTCGAACTCCTTTTCCTTCCGGACTGATTCAAGAAGTTTTGCTCTTTCTCGAATTGCCACCTTGTTTGCTTCAATTTGTTCTTCAGCAAACAAGGTGTAGTCACGGGAGTAAGGTGGTTCGTACCAGGAGCCTTCAGCAAATAAAACCTTGTCAAAATAGAAGATCTTCTGCTCTAATCTTATGATTTCTTTGTCGAGAGGATCAAGTTGATTGTCATACATAGGCCCAGATTGGACATAGTCATCTTGATCACCATGAGGTTCATAATAATCATCCCCATCAGGATCTTGGTATGGAGAATATCCAAAGTTTCTAGACGGGGTATCATATGGTGGTTCCTCATGGTAGGGATAGTAGTCAAACCCATTGTTGACTTGGTAGTCATCATCGTATGGGTACTGATGTGGGTGATAGGTTTGGTGGGGTTGAAACGGAGGGCGGTTTGGTGATTGGTAGAAAGGAGGCGGACCGTAATAACCACTGGAGTTATCCATAATAATTATTACGGGTGGTTGGTGAAAAAGAAGTGAGAAGATCGTTCTAACCAATCTTCACCCAAGCTAATCAGAAGAAATTAAACTAATGCCGTGCCACTCCCCGGCAACAGCGCCATTTGACAGTTGTAGTTTTTCGGGTAGTAAACCTTCCCAATAAAGGGTTAGTTTTCTCTCCGAGTGTCGTGTCTCTCGAGGAGTGGACGAAGGGAATCAGTTTAATTACTCTAACTAGGCGAAGGTTAGGATTGGTTTATGAAAGTCTTCTCGGAGCGATTGTAAAAAGGGAGTGGAGTAAAAATAATAAATTAAGTTTACATAGTATAAG